ATCCGGTACTGTAATACCATATGATGACTATTTTCTTCCTTGTTGACTCCCTTTCCAAAGATTATTACCACGAAAGCGGTCATTGAAATGATATCTGAACTCATTACATCCCGCACAGCTGCTGCAGGGACGACCCGTACATCTTCAGTAGTGCAAGCCTCTGAAAGACCAACAACATCAAGGCCACAGGCTGGAGCTACCGTGGATCAACCTCCCCAGGAGACGGGAATAAATGTGGGTACCATCATAGAAACCCCATGTCACTCGTTTTTAAACATTGAGATAGGATACTCCTGACTCGGTACCGACAGCACCACCACGTCCTGATGGCACTACAGAGGGGAGCGGGAATGAGGCATCAGGGGAATCGGAGATGTCCCATTTACCAAATGGGAGCGGTGTTACCCAGGGATCTGGAATTACTGAGGATCATGAGCCGACCATGTAAGTCTCGGTTATTCTCTTCTGGCAACGATTGGAATTGTCACTAATCGTTGGTCTCTGCCAATAGCAATTCTGTAACCGGTTCTACCGGGAGCTCACAGAATAAACATATTCAACTCTCCAGCCAGGCTGCCGGTATTATCGGGGCTACTATTGGCGTCGTTCTCCTCTTGCTGATCGGGTTCGCCTGGTATAGACGGAGATAAATCTTCTCTCAAGGATTTCAAGATTCAACACATAAAGAGTCTTCTTGAGCTCAAGAGGACCAGACAGCCAGGCCGGAGAAGGCTGCAACTTCTCGACGGAGCCCATATCGCCGCCCATTGTGTCTGGATTATCAGTCTACCCTGGCAATAGATGTGATAGATTTGATGGGTCGTCATTTTCGTCCATTTTGGACCGGTCCAGTATCTCAGGACTGGGGAGGCTCGCATAGCCAGTGTTCATCCATGACAGCACTTTGGCCAAAAGGTCTGTTGGCGAGGTATGCATATATACACGAGATTTATCCTGCCAGAAACACCACACACTAGCATATTGTAGATTTATTTCTTTGTCTGTAACTAAACCAAATTGAAAAACTCAGTGTAGTTATGCGTGGCTCCCTTAAATTGAAAGAAAGGTTTTGGTGTAGTTGAGAATGATAATCCAAGATCTTCAACTCGGAATAGAGCGTCCTTCCGGAATCAAGAAAGGAGGACTTCGCAGAGGGAGGCTCAGGTCCCGTCTCTATCCTCATTATCCGACTCCTATCTCTTCTTTACTTTCTATATCATTACATAGACTCTTGTTGATTCTCTGTGTGCCCAGTATTTGTAGGATCTTGGCTGGAGGCTCCAGAGAACAGTTCGCGTGTTTGCTTCTCTCTCTCTTCTCTTTTCTTGTCCTCAAATTGCACAACCTTAGGATAGTAAACCCACCCTATCAGTCCCATGAGCATCATGCATGCACCAAAGACAGGACTAATGGCAGGACCCGGAGCTCGTGGTTGTGTGGAGGCCCAACGCCTAGAGACTGCATATTAGTGCGAGAATAGATACAAATCACAGTAAGTTTATCTTTTTAAGCTGTTGGGATTACGACTTACCTAGGTACTTTGTCGACGGTGATACAAAATTTGTCCTTCCTTTTGTCTCAAGCGGTCGTTTCAAGGCTAGGAGAGATTGATGTCGCACAAACAGGAAAGACTGCTGTTGCTTGTTCCAGAAAGAGCGGCGTTGGCCTACAACATGCTTTCTCAACATTAGGCCGCCAAGTGGTAGAGTTCAAGTAGTGTAATTGGTAGGTACAACAAAGGTTCTCAAGACAAGACCAAAGGTAACCGGCCTAGCTTTCAGGAAGAAAGTAGACCGATTTGTATCGATTGAAATAAGTTAATGCTAATAAAAATGAGCGCATCCCAGTTCTCAATAGTCGGCAGCAGCGAATGAGCTCTTTTTGCGGGCTCCACGACCACGAGAAGAGCTTGTTCCTCTACCTCTACTTGTTAAACCAGTAGATCCCCTGCCTCTACCTCTTCCTCTCCCTCTAAAGCTGCCGCTTCCGCCATTTGGACAGTCGCTTGAGTAATGCCCCGGCGCTCCACACTTGAAACAATTTCCGCTGCTTGCGCCACTACCACTTCCACCGAGTGAAGAAGCTTTCGAGAAGGAGTTGGTCCCACCATCGTCTATGCCTGCTGCCTTCCTCAAGCGTTTGGTCGAACCGCTCCACTGTGTTGAGCTCGCGGAATTGGGACATGCTACAAGAATGGTGAGCAAACGGTTGTTAATATACAGTACTGAACCAATCTTACCGCTTGCCCAGTGGCCTGTCTTGGAGCATTTGTAACATACATCGTCTTTTCCTCCTGCC